AATCTATTCATGATGCGGAAGAATCTATGTTTGATGCAGCTCTCTTTAAGAAGAGGATATAATTTCTCTATAAGAGATATCAATTCATGTATGTGATTAGTGTACTCATCAGCAATTTCTCTTGCAGCGGGCAATCCATGAGTTTTCCCATAAAAATTTTAAATTCTATGTAATTTATTGAAGAATCGGAATTATCGAGAACATCTTTGAGAGGAAATAGTATTTCTTCAAGTGATTTTACTGGGACATCTGTAACTTTGGCTTTCTTCAGTTTCTTTGGTTTTTTGGATGGCATTTCCATCGGTTCCTTCATTTTTGGTTGGTCTGTGATCGGTTCAATCGATATCTCTGAAACAGTCGTGCTTACCTCAGATCTGGTTCGCTTGACTGCGATGGTTTTACGTTCTTCAACTGTATAATAATAATTTTATTAGTATCGATCTGGACGTTGACATTCGATGACGCGTGAAACTCGTTTAACCTCAATATTCGTGAATTTATTAAGAGAATAAATAACGAGAGGCTTGTATCGGCTGTTGTCAAGTGCGGACGTGTTTCAGTCGCGAGGATGTAAACATCTCCGACCGCGAGTGTTTTTCTTTCTACGTTCTGTACGAAAATTCCTTCACTATACAAGTCGTGTGCAATATTTCGTGCATATTAATACAGTTAAACATACGAAGTGTTGCTTCACAGCAACAATACCAGAATGACTTCTGACTACAGGAGTCATTCTTTAACGCCAGTACTCCAAAGTTCCAGTGCTGAAAATACCAACAAACATAGTTACGCTTCAGTTACACAAAATAATGTTTCCAAAGAAAGAACAGGCTATCATCTTGGAAGCTAAAGATGGGATCGAACTTAAAGAATACATTAGAGCAATTGGAAGCCTAACTAATCTGACCAACATTCGATTTGCCTCTAGAATATCTAATAATAGAATTTGTATTTTCTTGGCTACCAAGGACATCACCGAAGAACTAACTAGCAAACATACAAGAATTAATGTCGCAAACCAATCAATTGAAATTCGCCCCTTGCTAGTCAAACACAAACGACTCATTTTTTCAAACGTTTATCCTACGATTCCCAATGCAGTAATCGAAGATCTACATGACAAACTTAATATTAGGAGAGAATCACCAGTGTCATTTTTAAGAGCTGGTTTGTCGGAACAAGGCTATTCCCATATCCTTAGTTTTAGACGGCAAGTGTACATTCATCCCGACGACGTCCAAAAAGTTCCAGATTCCATTCAAGTCAACCACGATGATACATCATACTGGATCTACCCTTCTTCTGACAATTTAAAATGTTTTATATGTAAACATGACGGCCATCTTGCTAAAAACTGCCCAACTGCAGACAATAATAAAAATAAAACACTCGATCCAGTTGTCAACCCGAACCTCAGTGAAATCCATAACCCCAAGGAAAACTGTACACGTAATGATTCTATCAGTAAAGTACCTCGAACTGCTCAACTTAAGGAATTCATCTTTGAAGAGCCCATAAGTACTCCACTTAAACGAGCTAGATCGGAGATAAGCACAACAAACTCACAAGCAACAACAGACCCTAATATAAAGATACAAGAAGTTAAGAAACTTAAAGAATCGCCAAAGCTACCAAAAAAACAAAGGAAATCCAAGAACACTGAGGTTGTAATGAAACCATTAGAGGAAATGTTGTCTCCTCTAAAGGATGCACTAAATAATCCGGAGTCCCATCTAAATTTTCTTCAATTTAAAAGTTTTATGGAGAAAGCTCATGGCTCACAAGCCACAAGAGAAATAGCAGAAGAGTATACAAGAAATACAGACGAATTAATAACCCTAATGGAAAAGTTATATCCTCTTCTGGAAGACAGGTGTATTAAAAATAGATTCTCCCGAATTATGAACAAGCTTAAAAAATCACAGCCAATGGAAATATCATCTCCATATCCTACTTCGTCCGAAGAGGACGATAGCCTTCATCAGGATACTATTGAACTTGATAAATCCACCTAATGAGCACAAAAATAATTCAGTGGAATATTAATGGGTTATGGTCGCACTATGAATATCTTCAAAAGCTCATTAATGAACAAGATGCTGACATAGTTTGTATTCAGGAAACTAATTTCAAAAGCGCAAATCACATAAATATTAAAAATTTTGAAGTTGTTCATAAAAATAGGAATAACTGCTCATCTGCAAGTGGTGGAGTTGCTGTTTATGCAAAAAACTATCTATACAGAACTGAAGTGTTCTTAAATACTAATTTAGAAGCAGTGGCAGTGAGTCTATATTTGGCAAACAGAATGATCACTATCTGCAATATACATATACATTCCAAATAGCTATCAATTTAATCTCAGTGAATTATTAGAATTATTAAACCAACTACCCAGACCGTTCATTATCTTAGGTGACTTAAACAGCCATAACACACTTTGGGGATCATATAAAATAGACCAAAGAGGCCGACTTATCGAAAAGCTAATGGCCGACTGCGATCTCTCTCTCTTAAACAAACAAGATCCTACACACTTTAACACAGCAAATGGCAAATCAAGTTCCATCGATCTCTCTTTTGCGTTTCGCCATTTGAAAAGCGTATTTCAAATTACCGATAAATATATAATATACAATATTAATTAACATTACAAATTTTTAATTAGATATCAAAATGTTTAGATATGCAAATAGGTAAATAATTTGTAATATAAATAATTTGTGATGATCTACTAGCATTTTTATTATTGTATCAATTTTCTGGCGACATTTATTTGAAGCGCTAGGTCCTATCTTTTGGCGTTGACTGTTCGACTCCTATTGTTGTTCCGCTTGATTTTCAGCTATTCGAGCTGTGCTCGAGCTGATTTCTAGAATCAAAACGGTATCCGAAATGCGAGAATATTTAGAAATAGAGAACCGGCAAACAAAAGTCTATCAGTAGCTTCGCACAGTCCATAAGCATTAGACGTATTTCAGTAATATATGTAATGTTATACAGTGCAATTCGCAGTTTCTAATGATAATATTATAAGTTATTATATTAATTCCGATACCTATTTCTAGTAGAAATAAGTAGAATATTTAGTGGAGATTATAGTTAAAACTTTTCTACCTATAATTATTTCGAGCACGTGTTTGTAATATTGTATATTATATATTTATCGGTAATTTGAAATACGCTTTTCAAATGGCGAAACGCAGAAGTTGGGTATGGAATTATGCAAGCCGTGATGGCGATAAAGCTGTCTGTAATCTGTGTGATGAAGAAACTGTTAATGAATTTTCGTGTGCGGGTGGGACAACAGGGTCTATCAGTAGGCATTTGAAGTTCATTCATAATTTGGAACCTACTAATAATATTAACACCACTAATACTGAAACAGAAAGTACCTATTCAACTGTTAACGGTAAGTACCAACATTAAAACATCATAAAAGATGAAACGAATGGTAACAATAAATAAGTAATTCATATATACAGAACATGTGGAAGAAAATACAATTCTTGAAAATTCGCAACCACCAAAAAAACGTCGAAGACTGTCTATTTTAAACTGTCAGACTTCAAACATTCGTTTATGCGATCCTGCGAAAACGGAAAAAATACACCAGGCAGTAGCAAAATTAATTGCCAAAAATCAGTTACCTATTTCTTTCTGTTCATCCGATGGTTTTCAAGAGTTTATGTCTGTAGTGCAGCCAAATTATAAAATATGCAAAGACGAAGCTGAATCGTACCGTCGCGGCGGTACTGGCCAGGTAGTCGCGTGAGTTTTCTTTTAAACTCTGAGGGGTTGTAAGGCCCTCTTAACCCTCGTGGTACGCGGGTTCCTAGCCGTCGCTCGCCAAATTAATCTTGAGCGACTAGTTAATTGCCGGATTGTTTCGAATCGAAATCCGGCTGTTCTCTTTAATGTCGAATCACGAGTTGTTGCTCACGAACCGCTTGAGCTGAGGTTTCGCGAAATGATGTTCGAATAACGAATGGTTCACGAGACGATTGAACTGCCGATTTTGGAACGTTTACTCTGAGATTTCAGCGACGAGTTAAAGTGGATTTAGACCGTTGTCTTCGAACTTTTAGCGACGAATTAAAGATTTCGATCGTTGTTGTCTGAGGTTTCAGCGACGAGTGTCGAAGTGTCCGGAGCCCGTTTCCTCCTCGGCTTGAACCCCCTCCGAGACGCGATTTTGGGGGTTCGTCAACCGATTCGCGTTGACTTTTTCCGTTTATCGATTGGCCATCGACTTGGGGGAGGAGGATCGATTTTCCTGCCCCGTTGGCCAGGAAACTCCTCCCTCGGGCGATCGTGGAGGAGGAAGAGTCCCATCTCACCCTGGACGAGGGTGACCGAGGTTTCCTCCCCAAGTCGAAGGCCCCGTTAATTTTGCCGAGGAAAAAACGGGACTCCGAATTACGCCTAGCTACACGTGCGTTGCAGACGTTTTATGGCTGCATTGTTCCATGAGTTGGCGACGGTCGTTGTAGAGGACCGTGCCACCCGCGGAACAATGCAGCCCTTCGTCGGTCAACTCGGGCCTTGCACTTTCGAAAAGCTAAAGTGCTTGAATGCTTTACGATGAAATTTGCCAGATGCGGAATGTTCGAAGACTTTTTCGACAAAGTCAAGGTTCCGCATCTGGCACCATAAACGAACGGAAAAACCCGAGCTGACCGGACGGAACATGCTCCCCCCGTTGAACGCGGAAGGCGTTCAAGAGGTTGAATGGTGACCGATTCGTGTCACGGAGCTAAGATGATGCGATTGATTCGATTATACGATTACGATAATTGCGGATTACGACCGCTAAACGACTGCTCAACGCTTTGAGCAGTTTCGATTTTTTGCCCATCGAACGCTGGGCCGGCTGCACGCTGCTGTGCCGGGGGCTGCTTGGCTGGTCCGCACGATGACCGCTCTGATTACCCCTTCTGGTCCGGTGTGCCTCCTCTCGAAACGGGCGAGGTGCTCCTGGAGCAGGTTGGACCGTTGTCCTACAGCGGTGCGGGATGCGGTGATTGCGGATTACGACCGCTAGGCGACTGCTCAACGTTTTGAGCAGTTTCGATGTCGTCCGTTACTGGAAGCTGGGCCAGCTGCTTGACGCTGCGCCTGTAGCTGCCGTGGCTGGTCCGCACGGTCGCCGCTCGTGTTACCCCGTCTGGCCCAGTGTGCATCCTTTCGATTCGGCCGAGGTGCCACTGGAGCGGAGGTAGGTGGTCGTCCTTCAAGACCACCAAGGATCCCTCTCGTAGATCGTGGTATCCCTTGACCCACTTTTGTCGTACGTTGAGCTGGTTCAGGTACTCTTTGTACCACCTGTTCCAGAAGTCGCGTTTTACCTTCTGGATATGCTGCCACTTCGACAGCCGGTTGACAGGTGTATTGCTGAAATCGGCCTCAGGTAGGCTCGTCAAAGAATTACCAATTAACAGGTGGGCTGGAGTCAATGCGGAAGGATCGGTAGGGTCGGCGGAAAGTGGAGTTAGCGGACGTGAATTTAGGATTCCTTCGATTTCGACAACCAAGGTGTTGAACTCTTCGAACGTAAAGAGTTCTTCACCGACCACGCGTTTTATGTGGTGTTTAAAGGACCGAACCGCGGCTTCCCATAGCCCTCCGAAGTTCGGTGAGAGGGCTGGGATGAAGTGCCACGATATTTGTTTGTCGATAAGCCATCGTTGTACCCCTTCGTCGGCGTTAAGTACCTGGTGGAGTTTCGATAACTCATTGTCCGCGCCGACGAAATTCGTTCCGTTGTCGGAGTAAATATTGCGGCAGAGTCCTCTTCTAGCTACGAATCGTTTTAAGGCAGCGATGAAGGTTTCGGTGGTCATGTCTCCCACTACCTCAAGGTGCACCGCCTTGGTTGCAAAACAAACAAATACCGCAACGTAAATTTTGACTCGATTTCGATTCCGGAATTTTTTTTCCTTTACGTAAAACGGACCGCAATAATCGATGCCGCAATTATCGAAGGGTCGGCTTTCGGAAACGCGTGCCGCAGGTAAGTTGCCCATGACGTACTTGGTTATTGGGGGGTCGACCCGAAAGCACCTGACGCACCGGCGTACGATTTTGCGTACGGTGTTTCTCCCATCCATAGGCCAATATTGCTGGCGGACGAGGCATAATGTCGTGTTAATCCCGGCGTGATGATTCTCGACATGTGCGTTTCGAATTATTAATTCCGTTATCGTGTTATTTTTTGGCAACAACACTGGGTGTTTTTGCTCATATGACAAAGCCGAGTTCTGCAGCCGGCCGCCGACACGTAAGAGTCCCTTATCGGCCAGGAAGGGTCGTAGCGCTAAGAGTCTGCTGGCCGATTGTAACTCTTTTCCCGTTTTGAGCTGTTGGATTTCTCTGGCGAAGACGGACGCTTGGGTGAGCTGCAGAATTCGTTCGTTCGCGTGGTGCAGCTCTTCGATCGTTAGTGGACCCCTGTTACTGTTATTCCTTTTGAAGCGCAGGCAGTACGCGACGATTCTGCGCAAACGCTTTATTGACGAGTACCGGTGCAAAATTTCTTCGGAATGACAAGTTTTAGTTACGAAGCACGTAAAGGGTCTCGCTTCAGGTACGTTTGACGTGATCGTATATTGCGAGGGCGGCCAATTCAATTCCGATTCGAGAAGCCACGTGGGTCCGTTGCGCCAAGTTGAATTGGTTCGAAATTGCCGCGCCGATTGTCCTCGCGATATCATGTCGGCTGGGTTGTCGGCTGATTTAACGTGTCGCCACGCGGTCACGCTTGTCTTCTCCTGGATTTTGGAAACGCGATTTGCCACAAACGTTTTCAAGGTGCAGGGTTCCTTGTTGATCCAGTTGAGAACGATGGTCGAGTCGGTCCAAAACGTGATCTTGTCGAATGATCGCGCGAAATTTTGGAGAGCGGTCGTATGGAGATTGGCCAGCAACAGTGCTCCGCACAATTCGAGACGGGCGAGGCTAACGGTTTTTAACGGTGCAACGCGCGATTTTGCACATAGCAACTCGACCTTGATTTTTCCGGCTTCGTCTATGGTTCGTAGGTAGAGACACGCGCCGTACGCGCGTTCACTCGCATCGCAGTATCCGTGCAGCTCGGTTCTCATGGTTGCGCGCTGCGTTACGTGGCGCGGGAAGGCAATTTTGTCCAAGGTGCTGAACTCTTGCACGAAAGCTGTCCATTCGGTGTGCAATTCATGGGGTATCGATTCGTCCCAATTTAATTGCAGCCGCCAGAGTCCTTGGATCAAAATTTTTGCCTTGATGATTACCGGCGATAGTAGCCCTAACGGATCAAAGATTTTCGAAATAGTAGATAGGATTGTTCATTTGGTTATTTTCGCGTCGGTTTGGAGGTCCACCGTATAGACTATTTCATCGTTGCGAGCGTCCCATGAAAGTCCCAAGGTTTTGATGGATGAGTCGCCGAAAAATTTTGGGTGGATTTGTTCCGTCGGTAATCCGGTTAACAATCGCGGGTCGTTCGATACCCACTGTCGAATATTCAATCCTCCGCGTTTTAGGAGGTCGATGACAGAGTCTCGTAAATGTAAGGCTTGCGCGTAAGTATTGGCTCCGGTTAGCAAGTCATCTACGTACAAATCTTGCGTTACCACCTTCGCCGCGATCGGGGCTCGCGAACTTTCGTCTTCGGCCAGCTGTTGTAGGCATCTGACCGCGAGATATGGAGCTGATGATAATCCGAATGTGACTGTATTCAGTTCATATGCCTTAATGCGTCCGTCGTCGTCGCGCCACAAGATTTGCTGATATCGACGATCCTCCGGACGGACGAGGAACTGCCGATACATTTTTTCTATGTCTCCGGTGAGAACATAGTTGTGCGTACGGAAACGCATAAGGAGGGCGAACAAATCGTCTTGGATGGTGGGCCCGGTCATGAGGCCGTCGTTAAGCGAAAGTCCGCTACTCGATTTTGCCGAACCGTCGAATACGACTCGGACCTTAGTGGTGGTGCTCGATGATTTTACGACGGCATGATGCGGCAGGTAGAATCCGTCCGTATTGCTGGCCTCGTTTACCTCGCTCATGTGCCCGAGCTCTAAGTAATCTTTGATTACGGCCACGTATTCGCGTTTTAATTCCGCGTCGCGATTAAATTTCCGTTCGAGCGACAAATAACGAGTGAGAGCGCGCGATCGTGACTCTCCAAGCTCGGACTCCCTTCCGTTGAAGGGTAACGCGACGACATACCGTCCCGATTTATCGCGTTTAATATGATCCTTGAAATGATCTTCGCAATCCTGCTCTTCTGCCGATAAATGTCGGATGTGGGGACCCTCCTCTAACTCCCAGAATTTTTGTAAATCGAAATCCGGGGTAGCGAAGAATGTCCGGTGTTTCGCGCGCGCCGTTGCCGTGGGGCCGCTCCCCCCGATGACCCATCCAAATTGGGTTTTCTGCAGAATCAGATCCGACTGCTCATTGGAGGAGAGGTTCAGTTGACCTATGCTTAAGCTTGCCATCGTCGGTCCGGCGCTTATAAGCATGTCAACTGGAGCCGGGCGGTGAAATTGCGGATCGGCCAATTTCACGTTTTTCGGTATCGGAATTCTGGCGCGGTCGATTTGTTGATCCGGGATTCTATTGGCTATTCGCGGTACCGTGAAGAATTTCAGCGTCCGTTTGAAATTCGATGTCCGCGATTTTACCGTGGCCGTCAGAAGATTGTTCGTCGTCGTGTCTTCTTGATTTAAGACTTCGATCTTGACTGCGCATGTTTCCAGGGGAAGGTTTAATTTCGCGGCGAGGGCTTCGGTCATGAAATTGGCGCTCGAGCACGTGTCTATGAGCGTGCGACACTCGATCGCTCTGCGCTCCCTGTCATATACTTCGACCATAGCCGTTGCTAAGAGGCCGTGCGATGGGAGATCAGTGGATGATGCGGCGACCGGTGACCCCTTCCCGTTTGGTTTCGCGGCGTTCCGTGTCTGTCACGGTTTCGATTCCGTCAATCCCGTGTATTTCGCGTCTTGGTGCAATTTTGTATTATGCCGCTGATTGCACACTTGGCATGTACCACCGCGGCAATCCTCGCTTCGGTGTCCCGGACGTAAGCAGTTCATGCACAGATCGGCCTTGCGCGCGGCGTCGATACGATGAATGACCGGCATCTCGATGAACCGTTTACACGAATATTCTGCGTGTCCCTCCGAATTGCAGATGCTGCACGATGACCCGGCGGTTGCTCTCGGCGTCTTTCGTTGCGGACGCGGTGACGGTGGCTGCCGTTTTGAGTAATTTTCGCGCTGGTCGAAATTCGCGCGCGGCGGTTCCCTTGTCGACGTTTTCGTAGCGTACGTCTTTATTTTTTGGTATTGCGTCTTCGGAGAACGCGGGCGAAGATGGTACGGTCGCGATTGAGTCGGAGGCGGAATCGCGTCTCGATATGGGTTTTGTGTTGCGCGATTTGTCGGTTCAAATTCTTCCGTCTGATGTGATGCGTTATGCATGAATTTGATGACCTCCTCGAGTTTGGGAACTTCGGTGTCGGAGAGCGTACGTTCCCAGTTCCGTTTCGTTTCTTCGTCCATCTTCGAGACGATGATGCTGGTAATTAAATCCTGCGCTATGTTCTCCCAAGAACGACCGAGGGCTTGCAGGGATCGAATGTGCAGTTGCACGTGGTTCACGAGGTCGCGTACCGATTCGGACCTGTGATCGGGCATCGATGGCGAGTCGCGGAGCAGGGCCGCATGACAGAGTACGAGTGCGCGTCGGTTGTCGTACATCTCGCTTAAGTGAGTCCACGCCGCTTCGTAATTCTCATTCGAGATCGTGAAAGCGCTGATCGCCGCTTCAGCCTTTCCCGATAGAGACAATTGCAGGTACTGCAATTTTTGAATTTTGCTTAAGCCCGGTTGCAAATGAATAAGGTTGTTAAACGCGTCCTTGAATGTGAGCCATGACTCGATTCGTCCGTCGAATTTCGGAAGGCTCATCTTCGGCAAGTTTACCGGCAGCGAGCATGACGACGTGGCTGTCGGGTTGCAGCTTCCGTTGCTGCAATTCGCGGGACTCGAATGCTCTCCCGATTTTGAAGGAGCAGCGGCGCTCGCGAGACGATTGAGCATCACCGTTGCTCTTGCAATCACGTTGTCGTAAATATCGGTCGCGGCGTTTCTTTCGACCTCGGCTTCGTCATAATTGTCTATGTTGCCTAGCTCGTCTTGGACGCGATTAAACGTGTCGAATTGCCCGCGAATGCGCAGAAGCTGTTCGGACAATTTTATGCGTTCTGTCTCGCTGTCCTTGAAGGAGTCCAAGTAATGCCCGAACATTGTTACTTGGCTCTTGCACGTGCGCCGTTTATTTTTCAATTCGCGAATTCGGACCTCGTGATTGTCGGACATGCTCGCGCTCGTGTCTTTGGTCAGAGACATGTCTTAATCGAAGTGAAGGATCGGAAAGAGAGGAAATTCAAACCGTGTTAATTGGCAATTGTAACGAACGAGCCTACCTTTCGCAGTCCGTCCAGGGGTCGTCTTGAACCTGTGGTCAGCGTTGTCCTGTAGTAGACCGTCGCTGTCCTTCCCTGGAGTCGTCCTCGTTTGGTCGGTTGGCTTGCCTCGGGATGGCCTTATACGAAAAGGCCTCCTCTCATACGGTGGGTGGATAGCTTGTGGATTGCAGGTTTGGTCGCACTGTTTCCACACGTCACTATCCGGCTCGAAGGACCATGAATCGTACCGTCGCGGCGGTACTGGCCAGGTAGTCGCGTGAGTTTTCTTTTAAACTCTGAGGGGTTGTAAGGCCCTCTTAACCCTCGTGGTACGCGGGTTCCTAGCCGTCGCTCGCCAAATTAATCTTGAGCGACTAGTTAATTGCCGGATTGTTTCGAATCGAAATCCGGCTGTTCTCTTTAATGTCGAATCACGAGTTGTTGCTCACGAACCGCTTGAGCTGAGGTTTCGCGAAATGATGTTCGAATAACGAATGGTTCACGAGACGATTGAACTGCCGATTTTGGAACGTTTACTCTGAGATTTCAGCGACGAGTTAAAGTGGATTTAGACCGTTGTCTTCGAACTTTTAGCGACGAATTAAAGATTTCGATCGTTGTTGTCTGAGGTTTCAGCGACGAGTGTCGAAGTGTCCGGAGCCCGTTTCCTCCTCGGCTTGAACCCCCTCCGAGACGCGATTTTGGGGGTTCGTCAACCGATTCGCGTTGACTTTTTCCGTTTATCGATTGGCCATCGACTTGGGGGAGGAGGATCGATTTTCCTGCCCCGTTGGCCAGGAAACTCCTCCCTCGCGCGATCGTGGAGGAGGAAGAGTCCCATCTCACCCTGGACGAGGGTGACCGAGGTTTCCTCCCCAAGTCGAAGGCCCCGTTAATTTTGCCGAGGAAAAAACGGGACTCCGAATTACGCCTAGCTACACGTGCGTTGCAGACGTTTTATGGCTGCATTGTTCCATGAGTTGGCGACGGTCGTTGTAGAGGACCGTGCCACCCGCGGAACAATGCAGCCCTTCGTCGGTCAACTCGGGCCTTGCACTTTCGAAAAGCTAAAGTGCTTGAATGCTTTACGATGAAATTTGCCAGATGCGGAATGTTCGAAGACTTTTTCGACAAAGTCAAGGTTTCGCATCTGGCACCATAAACGAGCGGAAAAACCCGAGCTGACCGGACGGAACAGAAGCATTGAAAAAAAGATTAATGGGTCTGAAGAGTACGGTCGTGAGAAAGATAAGGGAACAATTAAACGCTGTTAAAAATGTAGTGTGTACATCCGATTGTTGGTCATCGTTAGCACAGGATTCGTACATTGCGATAACTGTACATATTATTAATTCCAATTGGGACACAGACAGTTTTGTTTTGAGTGTATATGAGATGGAAGAACGCCATACTGCCCAAAACCTCGCAGATGAACTACAGAGAACTCTCGAAGAATGGGAAATTAATTCGAAAGTAGTAGCCATTGTAACAGACAATGCCAAAAATATGGTAAATGCTATCTCATTGTTATCGGAAGTATCGGACAACACCAACATTTATAGCGTAACATGTGCAGCACACAGTGAGCAATTAGCTGTAAATCATGCATTAAAAGAAAAAACCGTACAACAAATAATCGATACATGTAGTAAAATGGTAGGACATTTTAAACATTCAAATGTTGCGAAACATGCATTACAGGAAAAACAAGTACAGCTTTCTTTGCCAAAAAATACATTAATACAAAGCTGCTCTACACGTTGGAACTCCACGTATTTTATGTTAGACAGTTTATATACAAATAGATGTGCAATATCAAATGTTATTGCAGATAGAGCCATTACTAATGCAAGGGTAGCACAATCTCTAGAAATAAATGAAAAACAATGGACAATAATAGAGTCTCTCTTAAATATTTTAAAACCGCTGCAAATTATAACAACACTTTTTTGTGGAGAAAGCCACTCTCCTATCTCAATGGTGAGACCATTAATCAAAAAATTGATCGAAAAACACTTAAATTTAAACAACGATGACGACACGCTTTTGTGTATATTCAAAAAAACTATAATTTCAGAACTTACGAGACGTTTCAAACTTGAATGGATCGAAGGTGATACTCTTTCGTTAAACCATATATCCTGTTTTTTTGATCCAAGATATAAAAATCTGGAACACGAAACGTCTGACGTAAAAGAAATAATTCGTACAGAAGCAAAACGATTGCTTCAAAACTCGGATGTAGTAAATGCAGTACATACAGTAAATACAGTAAATACAGCAAAGGCACATGACAAATCTGCTCTTGAATTTTTATACAACGAAATCACCGATAAAAATGATGTTTATATTCAAATTGAAACATATATGACCGAGCCACAATTACGCTTTGACTTAAATCCATTTGAATGGTGGAAAGCTAGGACAAACAAATATCCAGCAATTTCCGAAGTTGCCAAAAAATATTTAACAATTCCAGCAACCTCGGCGATGTCGGAACGATGCTTTTCATGCGCTGGAAATATTGTAACAAAAAAAAGAAACCGTTTGCTTCCAGAGAATGTTAACACCTTACTTTTCTTATCTCAAAACAAAAATTTAATAAATTGAACTTTATTAACCAAAACCATAATGTTTCTTATTTTCACCTACTACCCAGTAAATTAAGTCTCATAAACAATTTACACATCTAAATATTCAGATATTTAATTATAAAATAAAACTTGCGGTACGGGTAATACATGTGGAACAGTACATTTCGACACGTGTATCCGCGAACCTCAATAAACGGATACATGTATAGATATTATGATCCGTGTACCCATATATTTCAATACACGTGTATCCGTGTATTTCAATACCCGTGTACCCGTGTATTGAAAAGTACACGGATTAAGATACGCATATATTAACTACACGTGTACACGTGTACACGTATATATTAGATACACGTGAAATCAAGATCTCTACTTTGAATAGATGCAAAAACTCCAGTCCTGGGCCTGACATGATCCCAAATATATTCATTAAAAAGCTTTCCACCAAAGCACTTAAATACCTGCTAAACCTATATAATTGCATTTGGATTAATAATGTGTTCCCGCAAAAATGGAGTGATGCAATAGTTGTGCCAGTTCCCAAACCAGATAAAAATAGGAATCTTGTAGGTAGCTACAGACCCATCGCCTTAACGTGCTGTTTATGTAAAATAATGGAGAAGATTATTAACAAGCGCCTCCGATGGTTTCTCGAAAGGAATAAAATACTATCTATACATCAAAGTGGTTTCAGCCAACATCGTAGTACATTGGATAGTCTTGTGGCCTTGGAGTCTAACATCTGCGAAGCCTTTGCCAACAAAAATCACCTCGTCGCCATTTGTCTCGATATAGAAAAGGCATATGATATGGATTGGAGGGAGAGAATCATAAAAATTCTTAAAAGTCATATGCTTAACGGAAATATTTTAAATTTTTCACCAAACTTCCTCAAGAACCGATCTATTCAAGTACGTGTAAATGGCTCCTTATCCAACAAAATGGTGTCCCTCAGGGTTCCGTCCTGAGTGTTACGTTTTTCTTACTTGCTATTAATGAAATCACGAACATCATTAAGGCTCCTGTTAAGTGCAGTCTATTTGTAGACGATTTTACACTCTTCGCTTCCGGGAAAAACATTGGAACTACACAACTTATTCTACAGAGAACCTTAAATCAACTCAGCACCTTTTCCCTAAATACTGGCTTCAAGTTCTCTGAATCAAAATCAACAGCTATAGTTTTCAATAGAAGTTCTACTGTACAAGATAAGCCAAGGCTGTTCCTTGGAAATCGTATTCTTTCTGTAGTCAACCAAGTCAAAATTCTTGGACTCATGTTTGACAGCAAACTTACGTGAATTGGTAGTGTACAATTCGGCTAAATTAACGACACTAAAAAAATTGGAAACAATTAACAACAGTGCAGCGCGAATTGCAACGGGAGCTTTCTGCACTAGCCCTGTAGTAGGCTTGCTAAGTGAAGCAAACCTGCCACCACTTGACTACAGAAGAATGCAATTAACTCTTTCATATACTCTAACCACTGCATCATCTCCATGTAATCCGACGAAGGAAATAATTTTCTCAAAGAAATTTACCCACCTATTTAATAACAGGATCAAATCACCGAAGCCAATTAACATTCGCATTGCTAATTTATTCAAACAGTTGCACATACCGCTCCCTAACATCTTCCAAATTAAAGTGATTAACACTCCACCCTGGACATTGAAGATACCAATACTGATTGACCTCAACATTCCATCGAAGAAATTTGAAAACCACGATCTCTTGAAAGCATCCGTCCTAGAAAGTTCCAGCAAATTTTCAGACTATTCACCTATACTGTACTGTGATGGATCTAAAGCACAATTGAGTACTGGATGTGGTCTAGTGACTCCTGAAGGGAATATTGGCTTTAAATTGCCAGATTACTTTTCAGTTCTCTCATGCGAGGCATATGCTATATTGGAGGGGCTGAAGTACATCGGAAAAGCTAATAACAATGACAAATTTATTATCTACTCAGACTCTATGAGTGCACTTACTGCCCTTCATGTTACTGAACCCAGAAACCCTATTATTAGACAAATTATTGAGAAGTACAACGAAATTCTGTCAAACAAACAAGCTACTGAAATTTTGTTTGGGTGGGATCCATCACACATTGGGATTGCGGGAAACGAAAGGGCTGACAAAGTCGCAAAAGAGGCCGCTAATTCACCCCGTCATCCCCTCAATACACCTATCTATCATAAAGAAGTCTTCAAATCATTTTTCAAGATTCTCAAAAAACACTGGAATCTGTCCTGGAAACGTGGCCATAAGTCACACATTCATCGTACCAGGAATAATATCTACGAGATTAGTCCTGCATTATCGTTCGACAGGAGGCACCAAGT